TTACAGAGGGCTACAACAGCTCCTCAATTTGGAGCTAAGTTTTCAGAAATCATTAGTTTTTTCAATAGCAGGGACTTTAAAAAATTACAAAACGAATGCAGTATATGCATGTGTGTGTGTACACATATATACATATGTAAGCACACACACACACTGCATTCGTTTTGTAATTTTTAAAAGTCCCTGGTATTAAAATATATACATATATACACACACACATACATATTTGTATCCATCTGACTGGTCTGTGGTTTCAGAATGAATCATTCTGAAGTAATGTATTTTTTTTGCACAACTTCCAAATTGCAAAACTAATACCATGAATTCCCATATACCCTTTCATTTAAATGTACAAATTGTTCATATTTTGCTACATTTGCTTTCTCTGTCTCATACACATACATACTCACAATTATACTCAGGAATTTTAATATTGATACAGCACAGTCTATAGTCAGATGTCCCCAATTATCCCAATCATGTTCTTTATAGTTTTTTTTTTAATCCAGGTTCCAGTAAAAGCTCATGCATGCATTTAACATGTTCCTTTTTGTTGTTAGTGCCATCGAGTCGATTCTAACTCCTAGCAGCCCTGTGTACAGCAGAGTGGAACCCTGTGCCATCTTTCTGCGCCATCCTCTCACCTTCTGGCGCTATTTCAGACAATGCTCTGCTGCTATTCAGAGGGTTTTTTCATGGCCAGTTTTTTCAGAAGTGCGTGGCCAGATCCTTCTTCCTAGTTTGTCTTAGTCTGGAAGCTCTGCTGAAACCTGTCCACCATGGGTGACCCTACTGGTATTTGAAATACTGGTGGCATAGCTTTCAGCATCACAGCAACATGAAGCTGCCACAGTATGACAACTGACAGACAGGCAGTGTGGTTCTTGTCCAGGACAGGAACCCGGGCCGCGGTGCTCAGAGCACTGAATCTTAACCATTAGACCCTGGCTTGTTCCTTTAGTTTTCTTTATTTTTTTTATTTTTTTTTTTAAAGATTTTGTTTATTTTATTTTTTCCCCCCAAAGCCCCAGTGGATAGTTGTGTGTCGTAGCTGCACATCCTTCTAGTTGCTGTATGTGGGACTCGGCCTCAGGATGAACGGAGAAGTGGTGCCTCGATGCGCACCCGGGATCCGAACCCGGGCCACCAGCATCGCAGCGCACGCACTTAACCACCAAGCCACAGGGCCGGCCCCCTTTAGTTTTCTTTAATCTGAAATAGTTCTTCAGCCTTAATTTTTTTTTTTTTTCTGCTCTTTCAAGACATTAACATTTTTGAGGAGTCCAGGTTGTTTTGCAGGATGTTCCTTAATTTGAGTTTGGTTGTTTCCTTATGGTTAGAGTCAGATTAAACATTTTTGGTGGGAATACTCTCTACATGACGTTGTGTCCATTTTAGGCCATCACATAAGAAGGCATGCAATATGAATCTATCCCACTGTTGGTACGTTAAATCTGATCAGTTGGTTACGGCTGTGTCTGCCAGGACTTGTCATTGTAAAGGTATGTTTTCTCCATTGATGTTTCTTGCCTAAATCAGTTATTGCCATATAAAATGGTAATTTTCTTTTTTCTCATTCCTTCCACCTTCATCAGGTGGCATTCTTCTGTAAAGAAGAGGTTTACCTTTTCGCTGCTCTTCCTTAAATTATTTTTTTTTGATATCCGTATCGACTTATGGAATTTTATTTTCATTCAGTGTGTTGTAATCCATTCCTCTTGTTCATTTTGATGTCCAAATTTGGCCAATGGGAGCCCATTCAGGTTCACTTCTGTTTGAGTGTTCCCATCAATTTTTTGAGCACTTCCTTACTTTCTGGCACAGAAAGGTTTTTCAGGCTCATACTGTATTGTCTAGCTTTGGAATCAGCCATTTCTCCAACGAGCCCTGTTTCCTGTCAGTGGAGAATGGTATTTAGAAATCAAGATTTGGGTAGGTGTGCCCATTGCTACTGGAGCATCATTTCTTCTAGGCCCTCTCAATGAACAGACTAGATTTTTTTTTTAAATAATGAGTTGGAAGAATTGCTTACAGTAGCATGCCATCTAATTAATGAGTAGGAATGACCAGGTTAAGCAAATCACCATTTGGCAACTATCATACTAACAACTGGTTCAGGCAAGAATCATCAATAGGTGCTAAAACTCATTGGTGAAAGTTTGATGAGGAGCAAGATATTTACAAAGTCTCAAAGTATCTACCACAAGATACCTACTAATTACAAGGCGAAAAATAGTTACAGTGGAGAAATGTGGCAGACACCATGATAACCAAGTGATCAAAGTTAACATCACCACTAATGGGATATACCAATATGTGCCTCCTGATGTCTTCTTCTAACTGGTTGTTTGTGTATATGTTTTGACAATTAATGTTATATCTGAGGCAATGTGTTTTAACCCCAGCCATGGGAGGGTATTTTTTGGAGGAGAGGACAAGGTATCTTTCTCTGGTCTGGTTTCAGGCAGTGGCCCTTTCTCTCAGGAGCTCTTATTTCACGTGGAGATCAGAGTCTGGAGCCCAGCAACCTTGGGCTGTCTCCAGGTCCCAGGCAAAATATGAGACCAAAATGTGAGACTCACTAAAAAACAGTCTCGAAGTTGAACTCTGGGAGCCCTGGTCCTGGCCCCCACCCTCAATCTCAATGGGTTGAATCACGATCAGACCACTCTGGATTGCCTCTTCATGCCATAGTAAGCCGGTGGGGAGTGCTGCCAACTTTTTTCTGCTACCTGCATTCCTCATCCATGGTTTTTGGGTGACTATGAAGGACAGAGGCCATCTCTTCCAACTACCTTTACATGTGGCAGTGGGCTCAGCTCAGGCCTCAGCCAGGTCTACCACTGGGATTCAGAAATGTATGAACTTTTTTTTTTTTTTTAATTAATTTATTTATTTAATTTTTTCCCCCAAAGCTCCAGTAGATAGTTGTATGTCATAGCTGCACATCCTTCTAGTTGCTGTATGTGGGACACGGCCTCAGCATGGCCGGAGAAGCGGTGCTTCGGTGTGCGCCCAGGATCGAACGCGGGCCGCCAGCAGCGGAGCGCGCGCACTTAACCGCTAAGCCACAGGGCCGGCCCAGAAATGTATGAACTTGATGGAATAGATGAGAACCCCTCAGGAGTCAGAGTAGCTGAGGGTCCTGGCCTCCTCGGAAGAACTTAGCCTGAAGATAAGCTCTGGTGACCACAGCTTGTTATCTAGTGGGTAGCCAGGCACTGTCCTTTCCTTAGACTGCCCCGCAGGCTAGAGCTATGAACATCTCAGACTTTGGAGACAAGGCAGATTGCCCTCAATACATTTACCACGAATGGTAAACGAGAGACCTTCCCACTCCCAAACCTAAACTTCATATAAATAGAACCAAACAGTATGCACTCTTTTTTTTGTTTGTTTGTTTTTTTGAGGAAGACTAGCCCTGAGCTAATATCCGTTGCCAATCCTCCTCTTTTTGCTGAGGAAGACTGGCCCTGGGCTAACATCCATGACCATCTTCCTCTACTTTATATGTGACACCGCCACAGCATGGCTTAATAAGCGGTGCGTTGGTGCATGCTTGGGATCCGAACCTGTGAACCCCGGGCCGCCGAACCAGAGCAAGCACACTTAACTGCTATGCCACCGGGCCAGCCCCCCAGTATCCACCCTTTTTGTATAAGAATGGCTTTATTTGTTCCTTAAATGTTTGATAGAATTCATTAGTGAAGTCATCTGGATCTTGTTTTCTTTGTGAAAAGGCTTTTGGTTATGTATTCTTCAATTATCTATTCAATGCTATTCTGTGCTATTCAATTTTCTATTTCTTCTTCTGTCCATGACAACTTTTTAAAAACCCTGTTTGGTTCCATGAGAAATCTGAAAAATGGGAAGCAAATATTCAGCATAAAAAATTCTCTCTTATACAATGTCTTGTGAACTATAAGCTGAAACTCAAGACACATTCACGTACTCCATGCCTTGTTTTGTTTAGAGCTACCAAGTGAGTGCTAAAGGTGTGTATGTAATTAAGAACCCAAAGTTCTGTTCCTGTCTTATAAATTCAGGCTTTTATCCAACATTTGCTTGCCAGGCCCAGTGTAAGGTGTTTTGGATACAAGAAGACAGACTCTGCCATTAAAGAGTGCACAGTTGAGTGCAAGGCGACAGAAAATGTAGTTTTGTGGGAGGTTGGTGGGAGAGGTGCTATGGGAATCATGGGGTACCATGGGAGCACAGTGGTGTATTTCAGTACAAACGGGTCTGCTTCCATGTGAATTTCTGTAATGTGAACTAGTGCACATGTGATAGGTAAATAGGGGAAGGATGTTGGTACAATATAGACACTGCTTTGGTTCATCTATGATTTTGCCCAGGCAAAAGGAGCTGGAATAGTGGGAGTAGCATTACAGTCTTCAGCAGGAAGGGAAAAAACCCTCAGTTTGACTGCTGTGCAGCAGGAGCCCCTTTGGGCCCCCAGGAACAAGGAGGAAAAAAACCAGCGCCTTTACCTGGGCTTCCTCCCTCAAAAAGCCACATCCCAGCCTGTTGGTCTCAGCTGTGGCAGGCCATGTTGCCCTCGTGCCCCACTTAATAACAGTCCCCTAGCTCAGAACTCCTCTTTCATCTGCATTGTCTTGGCACCTATCAGCCTTGTTCTAATTAAAGTTTTGCCAGGATTTCCATTAGACTTTTTTGGTGCATTTTTAACATTCACTGTGACAGCCTCTAGCTCTGCTGAACTGCCTGTCTGGGTGGTCCAACTTATTTTTTTAGTGCTCTAGTTACAAAATTTTGTAGGTTTTGAGTGGTCTGTCCTAACCCCATTTTCATATAAGTCCTGTTATTACTCAAGTGCAATTTCTGAGAATATGATGTTTTCTAAGAATGTATAATTGTTTTATAGCAGAAATGTTTGTATTACAGAGGAATGAAACTTGTAAGCTAGACAGAACATAAAGAAAGTCTCTACACAGACAATAAACAATTTTAAGAAGCAGTGACAGAATTCCATGTGCATTTACTTAGCAATTTGCATTTATAAAGTGCTTTGTACACATTATAGCTGTGTTAAAAACCCCAGCAGAAGCATGGAAGGGGGTTCTGCAGCCACTATTATCTCCATTATTCTGATGCCAGAGCTCAGACTCTATCCAGTCCCTGGCTGGACTGGCCAGGCTCAATATCACTCCCCAGGGTAGCTGCCCTTGGGGATCTGCTAAACTAAGAGCACCCTGAGAACTGGGAATTCTGATTTCTAAGGCGGAGAAAGCAGCCTGGACTGAGCTGAAGGCTGCAGAGCCAGAGGAGGAGGAGACCTTGCCCCAGAAATAGGCCAGCACTTGTTATGCAGCATTTGGTGATTCCCTCTTTCATTACATAACCTCAGTGTTCACACTGTTCCCTTTTGTTGATTCCCTCCATGTGACTTATTCTATCAATCTCCTTAGCTAATGAGCCCCTTACATGGGGAATGGGTGGATCACAGACCAACTCTGTGAACAGCAGTGGGGCATAGCCACTTCCCAGAGTGTGGACTTGCCCAGAACACTCCTTTTGTGTGGGCTGGAATTGTTCCTGCTTGTTTTGAATAATAAAGCTGCCTAAGTTTTCTTTATTCATTTCTACATTGCCTTTCATTTACTTCTCCTACACTTGGGGCAGACGCCTGGCTTCCTTAGCCTTACTGCTGTGCTCGATGCCCTCCACAGCAGAGCAGTGACTGGCATAGGAGCAGATGTAGGAAAGGACACGGCCCCTGCCTTTCATCAGGAATGCTTTGGGGACACACACACACACATGGGGATGTTCTGAGAGCCACAGAGAGAAGGCGTGCAGTCCACAAGCAAGGGGTAGGGCCAGGGAGGCAGACAGGTATTCAGGGAACGGACAGAGGTACAGCTGGAAGTGGGAGATGAGAGGACATGGCAGGAGGTTACCAGAGCCTTCATGAGATGCCAGAGACCCCAGGGGTCATCCCTTCCAGCATCCTGCTCAGTGCAGGGACAGCTGTCTGCTTTCTAGAGCATCGCTGTCTCCTACACCATGCCTGGGTCCAGGCATGGGTCTCGTGGATACTGACTGTTGTACCAATATGGAGCTGGAGCTCCAGTGCTAAAAGTGCTTCTGTCTTTGGAGCCCACACTTCTCCTGTGGGCCTGGCTGTGTCCTCCAACAGAATAAAGAAAGTTCTCTGATTCCTTTAAAGGACTGCCTACCAAGAGGGGAGCAAAGGCCTCTTCCTCCAGTCTTCAATTCCCACGTGGCTGGCTCCATAGAGGGGGCTCCCTGGAACCAGCAAGCAGCTTTGGCAAGGGCAAATGTGTCTGGGGAAGAAAGTGAAACAGCTGACCCATGGCTGGGTAACTAGGCAGAGGGGGGAGCCTGGATTTGTGAGAAGAGTTGTAGGTTCCTGAGCAGGAAAATGACTGCTTTTGGCAAAACTGGAGTCAGATTAGATTGGGTTTGTGTCCTGACTGCAATTGAGGGGCAGCAGGCAAATAATTTAACCTGAGCCTCAGTTTTCACATCTGTAAACTGGAAATAGCAGCTCTGACCTCAAGAGGCATGGTTTGAGTGAGACGTGTAAGCTACGTAGCTTAGTGTCTCCCAGACTGGGTGCTTAGGCAGTGGAGGCTCTGTGTTACTGATGTTTGTACAGCTAGGGAAGCGAGTCTGCAGGCCTGTGTCTCTAAAATTTGGTGTTTGGTCATGTGATCTGAAGGCTGCTAGAATGGGCACTATCTGCCAGTTAGGAGGAAATTAGAAAGGGGATCTTGTTTTAGACAAAGAAATGGATGATGAACTTTTTCCCCCTTATTTTAAAGTTTCAAGTACCATTGGCATATTAAAGATAAAAATAGAGACGGAGGTTGGATATTTCAGCTTTAGCCAAGTATTTTCAGGTCATCAGAAAATAATTCAATTACAGTCATGCATTGCTTGACAATGGCGAGATGTTCTGAGAAATGCGTCGTTAGGCAATTTCATCGTTGTGCAAACACCATAGAGTATACTTACAGAAACCTAGATATCGGCTAGGCTATACCTAGGCTATATGGTACTAATCTTATGGGACCACTGTTGTATATGTGGTCTATTGTTGAGCACAATGTTATGTGGCATGTGACTATAATTTTCAACCCCACAATGCTCTATGTATCCCCTGGGCTAAGTGGACCCAAAATCCCACCTCACCTTTCCAAGCACTGTGCTCTCTGGGATATCACCAAATCCCTGTTCTCAACCTCTTCTCTGAACGTTCCCTCCACCACCTGGCCTTGACCAAGACCTGCCCCCTGCCCCCCTCAACACTGCTTCCCTTATTGCTGCTTACACCCTGGACCTTAGGTGGGGACTTGGGCTAGAGCTCTTTCTCTTGGTTCTCTCCACTCCTTCCCAGAGTAGTATCCCCTTCTCTCTTGCAGAAGACCTGAACCATTGAAGTTCTCGTTGTCCAAAAACACTGCCCCTCCCGCTCCTTGCTGCACTTCCCCTACTGCTGTCCTCATTCTTGTCAACTGCACCACTCGCCCAGCTTGAGTGTTCTGCACCCTGGTCTCAGTTCTTTCATCTCCTCAGTCTTGCACTCTTCCTCAGCCTCCACTCCCAGGGTCTGCACCTTGTCAACAACAAAAGCCGTACCACCCTCAAAACCACAGAGGCCATCCCACTACATTTTTCTAGCAAGCTCCCTTTTCTACTCCCTGAGACAACTCAAGCATCCTAGCCTTCTCTCCCTCAGGTGATGCCTTTCTTCACGCTTGTCTGAGGTAACAGCAGCTCTCAAAGGGGATGCTGCCCTATCTTCTCACCACCCAACCCTCACCTTTCCTTCATTTGCCCTGTTCTCCTTCTTCCTTCTGTCACAGTGGAGAACTGTCCCTCCAGAGGAGCCCTGGATTCCACATCCTCCAACCTCCTCAGATTCTTAGCTTCTTCAATAACCTTGCCATTTTTCTGCATCTTCTCTCTACTATCATTTCCATCAGGATACTAACATCCACTATTCTCTTGATCTTAATCTCCTTGCCACCCACTCTTCCCTTTAATACTGTTTCAATATTAATTAATTAAATATTAATACATGAGAGGGAAAAACCCTAGGAATCATCCTTGGTTCTTCATTTTCCTACATCCAATTCATCTTCACGACCTGCTGGTTCTAACTTGAAAGTATATATTTATTTGTACCATCTTTGCTATCACCCTGCTCCAAGTCAATGTTTTCTCTTGATTTAACCACCGAAATAGTTTCCTAACTGATCTGCTTTTCTTCTTGCTCCCCTAAAATTCAGTCTCCATACTACGAGCTTTTTAAAATATAAATCAGTGTCATTCCCCTGCTTAAAAGCCTTCAGTATTTTCCCACTGCACTTTGAATATCAAAATCCAGATTCCTTCCCGGGGCCTACAAGCTGGCCCCTGCACCTCATTTTAGGTTCATTCACATTTCCTTTTGCTTCTTTAGGAAAGTAAAATCCTTTCTTGTCTGAAGCCTTACACATTCTGTTCTCTCTGCCTGGAATGCTCTTCTACTTTTCAAATTTTCTACTCCTTCTTAACCTTTAGCTCTGCTTAGGAGGCCTTCCCTGACAGCCTAAGTCCAAGGTCTTCCTGTTTTTCTCTTACCTGCATCCTATTCATTTTGGTTTGGCCAAACTCATTTTGATGTGTAATTACACGTTTGTGTGTTTACTTATTTTCTGTCTCTTTCATTAGCTTTACAGCCTGTGAGGGCTGTGATTATGTTTCCAGTGCCTAGTAGAGTGCATGGTACAAAGGAAGAACTCTGAATGAAATAATGAACCAATAGGGAAGAAAGACTGAGGGGGATTCACAGAGAAAGCTGCTACCAGCTGCTCCTCTGATGGAATCAGCTGCTTTTCCTTATCTAAGACAATTTAGCATGAAATTAGTTTTTCACATGTGCAGGATCCAGCAGTTTTAAGTTCAGATGTGGGTGGATTCCAGTTGTTGTTTTGAACTCTAGTGGGAAGCTATCCACTATGATCCCTCCGTGTACAGAGTACTCCATGTCTAATATTGCTTAAAAAAAAAGTCAAGTAAAATCAGAAGCAGCATAATGGGATGCAAGGAACACAGGCCTGAGAGTTCCAACTTAGCTTTGGTCTTTGGTTTGTATGTTGCCTTTGTTACTCAAAGACTTTGTATTTCTGTTTCCTCATTTGTAAAATAAGAGAGGTTGGACTAGAAGAGATAAAAGTCCCTTCCAGTTGGTATGAGTATACTTTTAGCTATAGGTAACAGTGGCTTTAAGCAATCAAGACATTTAATTATCTCTTGAACTAGAATATGGAGCCATGATGGTTCCAGGGCTGGTGTAGTGGTTCAAAGTTGTTATCAAGAACCTGGGCTTTCCTTTCTTCTGCTCTGCCATTCGCTTTGTCTTCAGGCTTGTCCCTCATGGTCACAAGATGGCTGTAGCAGCTCTAGACATCAAAGCCTCCCATAAGAGCATCAAAAGCAGAAAGGGATGGACATGGGGAAGAGCTCTCCTCATGGGTCTTTCTCCTTTTATCAAGAAGTAAACTCTTTCCTGGAAGTACCCTAGCAGACTTCCCTTTGTCTCACTGGCCAAAACCACCTCACCTATCCACCCCAGACCATTACTGACAAGAGAATTTGCTTCCCCTAAATATAATTCATCCCTCAGGGCTGGCCTGTATTCAACTGTACTCAATTCAATACAGTTGACTCCTGTGAAAAACAGGAATAAGGGGAGGGCTGATGAGGAGGTTGCCTCATGGATCTAAAGTCCTGTGATTCTAAGTGCTTGCCCTTTAGGAGGCTGCCTTGTTATCTTGCAGGGACTAATTGCATTCTTCGCATCTCCAGCAAGGCAATGGCCAGGAATAGCATTTTTTTAAGGAATGGCTTTACATTCCTGAATGAGGAGGGAAGCAGAAAGGGTTTGGAAATTGATGGATTTATTGGCCGAAAAAAATTCATTGAGCCACTGAGCCCAGCAGGTCATCTACAGTAAAGGCCCTACAACTGAGCTGCCTATTGCTGAGAGCTGCCTTCGTAGGGAGCAGAAAAGATCAGGGATCACTGTCAATTAAAAGGCAAGATCTCACTTAACTTCCTCAGCAAACTACCAGTTCTCTTGCCTGTCCAGGCCACAGCATCATGTATTCCTAATAAGTAGAATCTTGTTTTAAAGCAGTTTAATAACAAATCAGATAACAAATAAGGAATGTATTCATAATGGCCATATTATTAAAAACCTACTATGTGCCAGGCACTGTGCTAGGTCCCAGGGATATGGGTACAAAGAATAAGGTCCCAGTCTTTAAGAGGTTGACATTCTAGTTGAGGGGAAAACACATGTAACAGATCAACAAGCTCTACGACTGATGTGTGTATGGGGCCAGGAAGTGGGAGTGGCCACCTCTGCCTGAGCGGTGATCAGGAAAGGGGGTGAGCCTTGAAACAGGAACAGGTATTCTGTCCAATCTTGAGAGCAGCATGAGCCAGGAGGGAGCTATTGGTTGAGAATGGTAGGCACTGGGTATGTGGGGCTGAGGGCTGGAGGGCTCTGTGGGCCGTGCTGAGAAGTATGGGCTTTATTCTGCAGGCAAAGGAAATTGGACACTTTCCATAGACAAGTCTTAAGGTAATGTGTATCAAATTATTTCTCAATTTTCCTCCCAGAGGTTAAGGAAAGATTTTATTTCATTTACTCCATACATTACATTGAATACATATTATGGACCAGTTATTAATAGTCAAGTTTACAGCTTTGCTATAAAACTATATGTGGACTAATTTACAGCAAAATGTCTAAAATGTATATAATGATTTCTAGTGATTTTAAGTAAGATTTAATAGTTTAAAATTACTAAAAAAAATTTGTTTAATATTTGCTAAGTTATTTCCCAATTTTTAACAACTTTGCTGCCAGCAAAGACAGGGATGTTGCCAGAACTCTTGCTCTCCAGTTTATAGAGGTATTCAGGGATGATTCTTCCCACAGTATGAGGCAAACCTCTTGTGTATCTGTGGGAGACCCGAGGATTCTTGCCCAGAGCCACCATGTAGTGCCGCCTGACTCCAGAGAGCTCTAGTCCTCACCTCCTCAGGCTTTTGTTCAAGTGTCACCTTATCAATGAAACCTCCCCTGACTGACGTCTGTAAATCTACAGTCCCTGCCAGTCCTGATCTTCCTTACTCTGCTTTTTCTTTTTTTGTACTGCACATATCTCCTTCTAACATATCATATAATTTACTAACTTATGTTTGTTGTTTATTATCTGTCTCCTCCTACTACAATTAAGTCCCTTAAAAGCAAGAATCTTTGTGTGTTCTGTTCACTGGTGTATCTCAACCACCTAGAACAGTGCCTTATAGAAGACCTAGACTCAAAGGTCAGTACCTGGGTAATTAGAAACCACCCTTTGAGACTTCTCCACTTGTCCTTATTGACTATGACTTGTCACTAAACAGAAGTGAGTTACTGAGAACAAAAATCTTATTGAACTTTTAGAGCAAAGCTGTTCATACCTGTGTGCATGTCTTTAGTGTGGAGGGTAAAAGGTCATGGTGCCCTTTGAGGGTGAACCTTAGAGGTTGTTAAGGGTAAAGGCCATGGAACAAAAGCAGAGGTGGGGGGTCTCAGACCCTGGTTGCAGACTACTGTAAACTGACGATAACATATGATGTTCTTTTGACCAGGTATAAGAGTTTGGTCACCGGGACCCGAGCGAGAGGAGTCATTGCTGTCCTATGGGTCCTTGCCTTTGGCATTGGACTGACCCCGTTCCTGGGGTGGAATAGTAAAGACAGTGCCACCAACAACTGCACAGAGCCCTGGGATGGAACCACCAATGAAAGCTGCTGCCTTGTGAAGTGTCTTTTTGAGAATGTGGTCCCCATGAGCTACATGGTATACTTCAATTTCTTTGGGTGTGTCCTGCCCCCACTGCTCATAATGCTGGTGATCTACATCAAGATCTTCATGGTGGCCTGCAGGCAGCTTCAGCGCACTGAGCTGATGGACCACTCAAGGACCATCCTTCAGCGGGAAATCCATGCGGCCAAGTCCCTGGCCTTGATCGTTGGGATTTTTGCTCTGTGCTGGCTACCAGTACATGCCATCAACTGTGTCACTCTTTTTCAGCCAGCTCAGGGTAAGGAAAAGCCCAAGTGGGCAATGAACACAGCCATTCTCCTGTCACATGCCAACTCAGTTGTCAATCCCATTGTCTATGCCTACCGGAACCGAGACTTCCGCTATACCTTTCACAAAATCATCTCCAGGTATGTTCTCTGCCAGACAGATGATGTCCTCAAGAGTGGGAATGGGCACGTCGGGGCACAGCCTGCTCTCAGTGTGGGCCTATGACCTAGACTCTGGCCTCTTCGAAGAGAAGGCACAAATTCACAATAAACAAAGGGACAGGACATGACTGGATGATTCTCATTGTGAAAGACAGCCACACCTCACAAGCATATGGGTTGCCTCTTTTGAGCACTTCCTGGAGTTACCACATATCTAGTCAATATGTATATGTTATTAGTAGGCTCCAAGGGTTGACAAATGTTATTTATGGTTCTGTCTGGCTGCTCTTACTATGTGTATGATGCTGACAGCTTGAATGGATTGTAAAAGACAGTTTTGTTTTTTAGGAGTCGGCCTCTTTCATGGTAGAAAATGACTGAAACTATTTTGCTGTGAAACACTGTGAACTATTATAATACAAATATTTAACTTAGAGGCAATGGAAAAATAAAAGTTGGACATACTAAAAATATATACTTGTTCCTAGGAAGGTGACCAGGAAAATTAAAAGTATAATTCTTCATTCTAGAAACTGCCATGTTAATTTACAGAAATAACTTAGGGGAATCTCATAAATCCTTAAGTAGAATATCATCAGATAACAATTTTGGTAACATTCTTTTCCATATACAACAAACTACTTTCGACGAAGAAACTGAAGAAATGGGATCCCTCCTCTGCCAGATTCCATGTCCTCCTTCTAGAACTAGGTAGTGAATTTTACTTCTCTCCCATGTTCAAGTTTGGTCAAGTTGCTGGAACCCAAAGTGTGAAAATTTTATTAAGTAAAATTATATAATTGTGTTATGTATATAAGTGAAATAAAAATAAAACTTAAAAAACAACAAGCTTGGGATGTTGCATTGGCTTGTCATACAGAACTGCATCTACCTTCTTCTTTTTTTTTTTTTTGCTGAGAAAGTTTAGCCCTGAGCTAACATCTGTGCCAGTCTTCCTCTATTTTATTTATTTTTAAATTTTTAATTTATTTATTTGTTCCCCCAAAGCCCCAGTAGATTCCTCTATTTTATATGTGGGTTGCCGCCACAGCATGACTGATGATTGGTATAGATCCGCGCCCAAGATCCGAACCTGTGAACCCAGGCTGCCAAAGCGGAGCACGCCGAACTTAACCAGTAGGCCACGAGGCTGGCTCCTGCATCTACCTTCTATTCTTTATCCTGAAGACTGCTTAAAAAAATAAGTTTAGGGCCGGCCCCATGGCTTGGAGGTTAAGTGCGCGCGCTCTGCTGCTGGCGGCCCAGGTTCGGATCCCAGGTGCGCACCAACACGCCGCTTCTCTGGCCATGCTGAGGCCGTGTCCCACATACAGCAACTGGAAGGATGTGCA